TAGTAGTAGTAGTAGTAGTAGAAGTAGCAGCAACAGCAGTAGTAGTAGTAGCAGCAAGCAGCAGCAGTAGTAGTAGCAGCAGCAACAGCAGTAGTAGTAGCAGCAGCAGCAACAGCAGTAGTAGTAGCAGCAGCAGCAAACAGCAGTAGTAGTAGCAGCAGCAGCAGCAAAGCAGTAGTAGCAGTAGTAGCAGCAGCAGCAACAGCAGTAGTAGTAGCAGCAGCAACAGCAGTGGTAGTAGCAGCAGCAACAGCAGTGGTAGTAGTAGTAGTAGCAAGCAGCGACGCTAGCGCAGAGAAAACGTCAAAACTTAGCTCTGTCAACAAACAAATTCAACGATACTTTTGCAATATCGTGCAATGCAAGTGTGATTTACCTTCGACATGCATGCTACGCACGTAACTGCATGGTCCGAAATTCAGTAGCAGGTCTACTAAGTCAGCGCTCATGTGACACGTCCTTTGATGGGGAAGGCTAGATCAGTAGTAACTCGAGGAGGTGTCATGGCGTCTGCTTTGATGATTGTTCAATGAAAATATAACCATTAAAATAATTATTTTCCATCCTATTTGAAGATTGAAAAGACCAAAATGATCGACCATATTCTCAAAGCATCCGTAACTTTGTGAAGTCATCAAAATAAACCCCATGTGGTTTTTTTCCAAAAATAGAATCAGACGCCATGACACCTCGAGTTGCTGCTGATCTAGCCTATAACGTCCTTTGATATTGGTTACGCAGTTGTAAGAAGGGAGTCTTGTTTGTACTCGTCATGGTGAAGCACAGGATGTTACAGCCCAAAATACAAAAAAAAGAAAAGAAAAAAAAAAAAAAAAAAAGAAAAAGAGAGAAAAAAAAGAAAAGAAAATCACGCCGTTACAGTAAAGCGAATTCTATTGCCATTAAGAAGCAAATAACTCATCAGATGAAGCACGAGTCGACTTAAGTGTTCGAGAATTCTGGATTCCTTCTGCGACATCAGAATATTCGAATCAATTGCTCAATGTTCAGCTGAAATTACATACAACCAGCAGCTCATGGACCAAATCAAGATGAAAAAGAAAAACAATGAGCGTGTCCAGAAAGAATACAAAACACACCTTACTTACTTTCACAAATTAAAGAAGAATGACCGCCCTCAGTTCTTTGTACGTTAGGCACGCTGAAGTTAAGCTGGAAAAAAATAACAGCCACTGGACTATGTGGTTGTGTGAGTGAAGTGTCTGTCGTGCGGGTATCTGGGAGCGAGGTGAAAGGTTAGCATTTACAAGAGTTTTTTTTCAGCGGCCTCGGTGAATGGCTACTCTACGTGCTAAGCATGTGCAAGAAACTGTTATGTTTCACCAAGCACGTGCAACGCCCGCGCGACGAATCCACAAGAGACGGTGGACAATCCGCACGGAAGATGAACGCATACAATACGTGCACGCGTACGCTATGTCCCTCTCACTTCGTGTTGGATACGCGTTCATTGAACTAGAAACTAGAAGTCTTCGCTAGCGTGTGAAATGCGAACGCCCCATGTGGAGGTGTGTATGTAACACGTGCGCATACGTGCAGTGCCGTGCCAAATCTACGTGCGAACAAGGTCTAATATGTTAGACCTTGCGTGGGACTTGCCTGGCTCCTACCAAGGTCTATATACCCTGGACCTTTCCTACAAGTGGTGCCTGTACTGCGTGGGACTCGCGCACGCGTACGTTCGAAGTTAGCAACGCCAATTTCGGAAGTCTGCGTCTGCCGTACGCGTGGTACCGTTCAGTACCGTGCAATGCACGTATGACTCGTGTTCGTCATGCGTGTCTTTTGCGTATTTACTTATTCAGATCGGCCAACGTTCGGCGTCTTAGCCACCGATTGGGATGTCATTGCAGTTCTCCAAATTTGTCGGTGTGTGGACCCTGCATAAGGAGAAAATTAAGCATTAAGTACAATATGCATGTTCTAAGTTGAGTAATAAAAGTAGTTATAAGAGAACTACTAGAAGCTTTACCACTTTTAATAACAGAGAAATATAGTAATAGTGATAGAAGTAGTGGTAGCTATAATAACAGTCGTGGCAGCATTGATATAAAAGAGAACGAGAGTGCAGTCTGACATCCTGACTCCTGCCATTTTATAACATAATAATAACAATGATAATGTTAATAATAATGATGATGATGATGATAATAATAATAATAATAATAATAATAATAATAATAATAATAATAATAATAATAATAATAATAATGATAATAATAACAATAACGATAATGTTAATGATGATATTGATGATGGAAATAACACAAAATAAAACCATCACCACCACCAACAATAATAATCAGTGACATTACTATTTCGTATTACTACTCCTACTACTACCGTTGTCATTATATCCATTATCCTCATAGCGATCGTCATTGTTTTGTCATTTCATTGTAATAAAAGTCACTTTAAATAGAATCAACTTTAGAAAGAATAACAAGAAAAAATATAGGCCGATTTGTTCAAATTGTGCGAGGAATAGACAGAAATAAATGCCTATCTATTAGATATGTATATACTTTTATCTATCTATCTATAATGTAGATATGCATGTCTTGACTGATAGATATGCATTTATTTTTGTATATGCATGTCCGTATAATGAATGTTCATTGGGTCGAGCCTCGCACAATTTGAACAAACCGGCCGTATATAAACAATCAAGTTAGCCTATTATATTCCTGTAAAATAATTCCAAGTAAGTCAAAGGGAGTTAATGCAATGTTGTTAGTGCCAGTGCAGGTTATTGTATTTAACAACAAAGCTAACCTATATTTATTATAATAGTGCGTGCAAAACGAAAATGATAACCAATACATAACTGATAATAATGTATAAATAAACAAATGCGCATAATGTTCCTTTGCTACACGCTACATCTCGTCCACCGTTACCTAGGCCTACACTGCAAAATAATCCTATGCTCCGTCCAATCTCAGGAAAAGAAGAACTGATAACTCAACCTTGGACTCTAGAAAACTCCGATTCGTTACGCCTCTTTTGAAAAAAAATAATAATCAAGGGATGTAAAGCATAAACAAATAGTGGATATGATTTAAAAAATACCCTAATCATGTGGATATAAGTATCAAGTGGCAGCTGATTAGGATTAAAAAAATAACTTGACGAATCGGAGTATTCCAAATTCTGGGGTGAGTTGCCAATTTTTCCTTTTTTGAGACTGAACGCACTGTAGTTCCTAGTATAGCTTCAGTCGCCGATTGCTGATTGGTGTGTACTGTACAGCGCTATTTGATCTTCCTATTGCGAAAAACCCGCATGTGGTAGTTGTGTCCATCAGGAGTTATGATTTTCTGTAAGCATGTATCACTCGAAAGTGTAACCTTGTATAAATATAATGTAACAGATTTCAGCTTCTGGTTTCAGTATTTTTGCCAGCAGCTTCACGTATGAAAATTGCTTCATCTCAATCTTCATCCACTCCATCTTGCACTAAATCTTCAAGTCTCTTTTTTTTCTTTTATATTTAATGGCGCGGGCTGGAGTAGCAATGTCCGTGGTTTTACTATAGGTAATATTAACCCAAAAACTACAGTGAATGACGAGTTTCCACGTAAACTACAATTAAACAAAGGGGAAAAAAGGTTAAATGTCTGCCCATATTACTGTTGACACAACCTGTAGATTAATGTAGGCCTATGTGTAGTGCATGGCTTTACAAAGACTGGTTTATAATCTGAATACAAAAACATTCTAATTTAAAGAAGCTATATTTTGACTTGTTTTCCTTCTTTTTATCTCCCTTTCTTTCGTCATTGATTCTGTAACAGAAATATTTCCTTTTTTCCTATTCTGATCCAAAACCAGTTCACATGCAACGATAGTGTCTCAGCTTTCATACGGCATCAAATCATATATTATGTGTGTGTGTGTGTGTGTGTGTGTGTGTGTGTGAGTGAGAGTGAGAGTGAGAGTGAGAGTGAGAGTGAGAGTGAGAGTGAGAGAGAGAGAGAGAGAGAGAGAGAGAGAGAGAGAGAGAGAGAGAGAGAGAGAGAGAGAGAGAGAGAGAGAGAGAGAGAGAGACTGAATCCTGACCTACTTCTAATTTCTTCAGGCCCAGTGTCGATGGCCTTAAGATTTGTATTTGTTAATGTTCACACTTTTTTCCCGTCTGTGTAGAATCTTTTTTTTTTTTTTTTTATCGGTGTAAAGATGACCATATTTGAAGAAAAGAAATATTGAAACGGTATTAAGTAAAAAATATCAAGGTCTTTAGATGTCATATGATAACAAGTTTGCCCATATAACTTATAATGAAAGACATTGATATATGAATTAATGTTATTGTTCATTATTCCAATCCATATGAAATCCATAGGAATTAAAACTATCTTATAGTCAGTGTATAACCTTGACAGTTACGGAACAGATATAAATATACTGTTTAAAACTTGCCGTGTGTTTTGCCGTAGAATATTCAGGTTAAAATTCATGCCTATCCCTAGATAGCAATGATACCATAGCATAATTAAAGAGAAAAGGATTAACTTTCTCATGTTCAGTTTAAACAGTCCTTCTAAAGATTAACCATTCACATTAGAAACAGCTTGGTCTCATGCTGTAGTATTAAATAAAGGATTAAAATAATGAAATTAAAATAAAATTATGGATATTATGATCCATTCATTGGCAGTGAACGAAATCAAAGGTATATATATGGCTGATACAAAACAAAGAAACCCCCCCCCCCTCTGCAAACTGACAGGCAGGCATGATGAAAGAACTTCTTAGTGTAATAGATAGAACAACCAGCATTATTTTGTTTAGAGAAAATATATATATAAATGTTGAAGAAAGCATTGGCTAATTATTATTACCTTATTTCTATCGTCGCCATGTGATCGCTGTTACTAAATGTAATACAGCTATTAGTATTATTATTCATTTACAGTCCATCCTTGTTATCATTTAAAAAGACACGCACTTCCTGACTGCGCCTTCCCCCCCCACAGGTCCCATCGCCGGAGGCCATGGTGGGCTCTTACACGTCGCTGCCTCCGGGCGTGGCGGCCACAGTTCCGCGCCGGATCCTCCTCAGGGACTCGTGGGTCAAACACGCAGCCGGGCCCCCGGAGGAGGCGGTGGCGGAGGCCTCGGAGCCCAACGCAGCTGAGCCTCCGAGCCCTCCCCCTCCTTCCCCGCCGCCCTCGACGCGCCCTTCGCTGCTCGCCAGGGAAGGCCCTCGCAGTCCGCCGCTGGCATCGCCGCCCTGCCTCTCGCCTGACCTCCCGCGCCCCTTCGAGCGGTTCCGCAGCGCCAGCGCCCGCGAGTCGCGAAAGAAAGCGCGCCCGGCGTCCGTCGTGCTCACCACGTACATCTCGACGGCCGCCAAGGACGAGTTCCAGGGCCTGTCCGGGAAGGTTTCGCGCACCAAGGCCTTCTTCGAGTCGTCGCCGCTGCAGGTCAAGGACTCGTCGGGCGAGTGGGACGAGGCCGACATCCAGGAGACCGACCTCCCGCCCGACACCCTCGTCACCTACACCTTCAAGAATCCGCTGAGGGCGTCACCCAAACCGGCGCTACCACACGCTCTTTTCCGCGCTGGGCCGAATTTGCCGACGCTTCTGCAGAAGGCGACATCGACACTCCCGCGCCCCCAAAGAAGCCCGGCTACGACAGCGCGCCCGAGGGCGAGGCCAGGGCGCCGGAGGAAGTGA